AAAAAAAAAAAAAGAGTACTGACAAGCATTTCGTAAAAAAGCTTACTCTTTAGTAATATAATGTAATCTGACATACCTCCTTGCATAGTGGTGACCACAGCCGAGGGATCACTGAAGGCACCAGCACCAAATGCATTAACAGCTTGTACTCTGAATATATATGCAGTATTAGCCACCAAGTCTTCTACAGTGTAACTTAGTGTTGTAATGCCATCAATAACACCTTGATAACTGTCACTACTAGCCTGCCTTACTCTGAATGTTATATGACAGGGTGGGTAAAGCGTCCAATGTGTTTTGATCCTCCCAAGATAATGTGACTGTACTTGCCGTTAAACCAATCACAGACGGTAAAGAAGGATCTTTAGGAACTAAAAGAAAATTGAAAATCAAGTTTTATTCATTCATAGGAATGGATCGTAGCTTCAAAAACTATAATAATAATAAATTATCTATGGAAAATCCTGTTTTAATCATCGTATATAATCGGGGTCAGTGAGAATGGTTCAGCGGCTATTGTTTATTGCATCTCTAGAAATTTTTTCAGTATTACCGGTATATAGCAATAAAAATATTAATCAATAAAAATGAAAAATAACATGTTAGTAAGAAGATTTTATAAAGTAGATAAAATATAATAGGTTAAAGTGGGGGTGTGGTCACCTGCGCATGATTCAGCAGGCCATAGCGTGTCACTGTTCACAAACAAGAGTCTACCCATAAGCCATAACATTTTTAGCGTGTGTTGTTATCGGCACTTGGGACTCAATTCCCGCATGTGCATAGGTAACGACCCTCCCGCTTTAAAATCAAGCTGTTTTTTTGTGGGTTGTTGGAATGGCATGAAGATGAATTGTGCGACATGCTTAACTGAGATTTTGTCGGTGAATCACATGGTTCAATTATATTATTGCACATGTCAGTAACTTAGTGTGTTGTTTATCATTTGCTTGTACATTAATTGTTGTGTATGCTCTAAGACTGATCATTTCCTTACGAGTAAGCAAATTAATATCTGTACCACAGTACACATTATGTATGTACGTAAATGTACTTGAAAATCTTTATTTGACCATTGAATTCAGATTATGTAATATGAGGTTATTACGAGGATACCGAAAAGTATGCACAAAGACAATACCGAAGAAGTATTGACTGACCGACCTCCAGTGCGTGGCGTACTGCCTCAGTGCATACTTTGAGGTATCCTTGTAATAACCTTATGTCTTATTATTATACATCTTTTCCTTCCAAAATGTGTAGAACAGAATCAGCGAACTTCTGTGGAGTCCGGTCAAACCCTGGTGGCAGCCATGTTTGTTTTTATTATTAGAAATCGCTTACGTGTGTAATCGTTTAATATTTGGAATTCGCATTTCCTAATAAGGTTGGATGAAACCACACCATAAAACGGCAAAATTATGGCATGCTGTAACTTATGGCGTTACGGTGACAGGCCGGTAATAATAGATAGGTATATCAGTGCTTCTTATTGAATGCAGCAACAATGCTGTCAAACTTGAATATTCAGAACGCAAATAGTCGCACGAACATGAATCTGGTAATAAGTAGGAAATTCAGACTGCTTTATTTCTGAATCACTAAATTATAACAACACAAATATGTATAATAATAATAATAAATTAAAATGAGAATGTCACAAAAAGTATGACCTCAGGCGGCATGGGATCACATTGATAAAGTGACCGTCTTGTCTTTGGGCTTACTTTGCGGTATACTCATAATGACCTCACATTCTTACCTGAAATGACATAGACATCAGTACTGTTACCAAATATATTGGTAGCCCAGCAATAATACATGAATGTTTCAACAGCAACAAAATTATAAATGACTAATTCATAGTCTCGGTTGACATCATGTCCAAGTATGTTGTTCTGGTTCAACGGTATATCATTGACCTTCCAGCTGATAGAGGGTTCTGGTAAACCTAGCGAGTGACAGATTATGGTCTTTTTGATGTCGTCATGAGTCACAGTTATACCATCAAGTACAGGTAATCCTGTGGGGAAAATTATAAACATACTTTTTGATCACAAAATCACTATGGGGAGTACAAGATGAGATTAAAAGATTATAGACAGATGTAGTGAGGTATAAAAAAAAATAGTAAATGTATCTGGTAAACAAAAGTGCAGGTCGAGCATTTTTCTGTTGATGAATTGATATAAATTTGCAAAATTTTAGTGCCATCAAATAATTGAAGCGGAAGTGTCGTCCCCCGTGCATGCATCAGGTGGCCATAGCGTGTCATTGTTTACAAACAAGCATCTACCCATGAGCCCTTGCGTTCTTAGGGTGTGTTGTTATCATTGCTTGGGACTCAATTCCCACGTGTGTGCAGGTGACAACCGTGTCGCTTTAAGCCCTCCCTCCTCCCAAATCACTTCACTTCGGTTCGTTTCTAACTGGGATCAATGAATGAAAGCACAATTAAAAGTAATTTTTTAATTAGATTGCAAAAGTCACTATGATCTTGTGGACAGACAATGAAATGTTTAGTAATGCAAAATTTCCTTATTTAGTAATCTTAGCTGAGAAATTAAACACCCTCAGAATATTGAAGTACCAGTCCATGTAAATTACTGTATTTGTTGTATTATTGGAATATTTATGTCAAAACATGGAGAATAATTAATACCACTTGTGTCAGTCAGTGACATTTTGTAACAGTCAAAATTATTCTGGGCATGAATGCCATAAAATCCTGTAGTGTGAAAATTTTCAGTTTCAAGTATATTGGAGTTAAAGGTATTTATAATAACATTTTCTTCTTATATTTGTACACTTTTCAATCAGTTGAATAACAAAAATGTTGAAATTGTAAATTGTTCTGACAACTGAAGTCCACAACGTAAACATGTTGTTTCACATGGTTGTGTTTTTCTAAACAGTCTAAAGAGAGTTTGTATTATCTGGTTATACATCAAATTAAGCCTAAAATAAATCTACTGGTAATATTAAATATGGTAGCTATTAGATAAGGAGTAATCAGTAAAAGTAGAAAATGCAAACATAGAATTCACACAATTGGATAAAGTAATGACGAGATGGAAAATGAAAAGCATCTGGAATAACGTACTTACCCTGTATAAACAACGTAAGTACGGCAAGGTCATCTCCGAGCATATTACTAGCGTGACAAGTATAATTACCGCTATCATCCAACATGGATAAAGAGTGTATCAACAAACTATTAGCCGTGATATCGTATCTCCCGAGTAGCGGTTCAATCAGCTCACCATCCTGATCGTTCCACGTTATATCAGGTTTCGGAGTCCCGTAACTATAGCATTGCAAGTACGCCATTCCGCCCTCAGTGCCTCGCAGTGGCGACGTGACGTAGTAGATCTCTGGTGGCATGTTGATTGTCAGGTAGAGAGTTCCTGTGATAACGCCAACTGAATTAGCAGCTTCGCACAGGTACCATCCGGCATCAATTTTCCGGGCATCTAGTACAACAAGATCACCTGATCCAGTCACATAGCTGTTTGCACCAGGGGTGGTCAAATGTACAAATCCATCTCCGATTTGGTAATGTTTATTTGCATGGAAGTCACTTCTATACCATGTTATGACGGCCGGTTCTCTGGAATGTGCTTGGCATTGTAATGTCACTGATTCACTGATGTTAACAGAGGTGTTGTAAGGTTTGATACCAAACACTGGAATATCTAGGGAAACACCAAAAAAAAAAACATTTTGCTAAATTTTTTTTTCTATGTAAGGAATCTACAGTAAAGCATTCATTATGGTCACATACGTGTATATCTAATTTGTGGCTATGTGGAAACTTACAAGTTGATGAAAAACTATTTAACCTTTTCACCACTAGACTTTCTCGTCCAAATTTTTCTACAATTTTTTCTTATATTCTTCAATATTTCTGGAAATGAACGCTTATTTTGGAACCACCAGACAAATTTTTCTACAATTTTTTCTTATATTCTTCAATATTTCTGGAAATGAACGCTTATTTTGGACACCAGACAAATTTTTCCACAATTTTTTCTTATATTCTTCAATATTTCTGGAAATGAACGCTTATTTTGGAGCCACCAGACAAATTTT